AGCAAAAATTATCGCTAAAGCAGGGTGATAGAAATTCTCCGGTAGAGCTTGCCTACACCAGAGGCACATAAAATTTTGAAGCATTGTCAACTCACTCTGAAGCCGTTGTTCAGTGAAACTTATTTGGAACTAATTTAATTTGATGAAATAGGTAGTAATTTTTCTTTAAGAACTCAATAAATCATTGTCGGGTGTCAATTGGATTGATATTTTCATTGAGACGCAATAATTGAGTCAAAATATTTCATTGATACAGTTATTTATATAGTCTCTACTAAAATTAATGCAGAAGCTTTGAAAATCAATTGACATTTTCTGAAGATATAGACGATTAAAAAGGTACCAGGGCTAGAGTCCTTCTCCGACCGACATTCAAAAATTATAGAAAAGTAATTTATTTAAAATTGTTGGTACATTTTTCAAGTCATGTCAAGTCCTCAGAGTCTATTATATGGCATGAAATAAAAGCTGCTCATAAAAATTCATCGACCGTTCGGAGACGGCTTAGAATAACATTTAAATTCCAATTGTTGTGACATGGCCAAGAATCGATTCAGCGGTTAAAAAGCGCCAATTATGTATATATGTACATACGTCTATTTTATACAGACAAACAAATAGTGGCTCCCGCAGTAGGCAAAATTTGTTGTCTTGCACTGGGTTGTATATACATAAATGCATATGAACATGCAAAAAATTTTCTAAAATATTCTCCAATATTTTTAAACATTATTAATTTTTATATATATAGATAAAGGTGCTACGGAACTTCACAAGGCGAATTTATCAATAGGAGTTACTAGGGCAGAGAACTCAAATTTTTTCGTTTAATTAATTCGCTTCAGTGAAAAGGCAGTCAAAATTTTGGTCTATGATTAGTATGTTTGCTTATATTTTGATTTTCTTCAATTAAAAAATTTGGGCCGTTTTGATTTGAGTTGAATTGATGCGGCTTTTAATCAGTAACCAACGCATTTAGGCCAATATGCCCATTTCGATACCGCTTTATGATGCTGTAATTAAAAAAGCAATGAGATTGCTGGTTGACGCTGAAGTTTGCTCAGCGCGACAGACAAAGAAGCTTCCTCTGTAGCAAAAATCATTATAGTGAAAGCCCTTTTTTCCATAAAGCCATATCTCACTGGTCACGTTACACGTGATCTTATTCTGCCATCTAGTCTTTGCATTTTTGACAAAGTTGCCCTTTCTTGGCATTTAATTTGCAATGACAAAGGTAAACCTCTGTCTTGAACATGGCTTATTTTGGATAGAAGAGTTCCCTTTTTACCTTTGATGTGGAATATTACACTGCAGAGCTCTGATGGCAGCTTGACTATAGAATTTTATCGTAACTGATATTACTGCTACCGTAGATTTGAGCAGATACTCGGCGTCTTGCATGATAGCAAAAAGTTCTGCTTGAAATACTCTACAGTGCTAATATCATTATTGAGAGCCCGCTATTTATCGAGCGCTGAGCCGTCTGTAATGATGGGTATGGCTCCTTGATCGAGGGCGTTTGTTTTTTCCCACTCGTTCCTGTTTGGAATTTTTGTTTGAAGAGACTTCCGAAGCAATCCGTTGTGTTTTGTACGTACATATATAGAACGAGGAAAATGATCATTTTTTCAAGCTCCATAAGATGAACAATCTGCATCTTTCTGCATTCGTGTTGGCTAAAGAAATTTGAAAAAGTGATTTGGTATGCATTGACCATTTTTGAAAGGCAAATTACGTTTGTTTTATGGTTAAATATAATATATTTTTTCAATATTAACAATATATAAATTAAAACTGCCCGTAATCTCTTAAAATCACAAAATTATATCGGCCATTGCATGAGTCTAATATATTAATAAGTCCAATTAATAGTCCATAATACATACAATGAGAATGGAGTATGGCGCCATATATAAAAGTAGACTCGAGTACGGAGGATTTTTGACTTTCTTCATTCTAAGAGTTACAAGAAACGATTAATTTGCAGTTTAAGACTTCTGATCTTAGAAGAAGTATTCTCTGGGTAGCCAACAAACAACTGTTTGGAGGCAAGCTAAAATGAGATGGCTAATCCCATGCGGTTGTGTGGGGAATTCGGGATCCATGGGACACATGCTTAACACATGTGCACCTGGTATAACCGGTCCCTTAATTAGGAAGATGTCACTGCCCGGCTTCTTGATGTCCTGGTTAAATTAAAGATGAAATCCCCGCCATTCAAGAAGTGCGATGGATGGACGAAACGAGTAGGTCCTTGTGAATTATTCTAAAGCAGCTATATAAAAAGCGCAAATTTTTTAATGAATTTGTGGTGGTAGAGACTCCGTCGCCGAATACTGGCATTCACAGCGGTGGATGAATTTCTCGCTACAATTCACTTTGAAATTAAATTTTCCAAAACATCGCTGATTTGCACCATGCCCCAACGGAAGAGAATGACGATGTGACCAAAGATGTCTTTTATGAGCGCCTGTAGCAAACTTATGAGCACTGCCCCCGACACGATGTGAAGATTATATTTGGTCTTCGGCACAGCTGTCGAAAAGTTTAGCTGATCTAGTGACTGATGTCCAGAGTATAATGAATTTATGGAGAGAACACTTCTTCAGCCTGTTAAATAGCGAAAATGAAACACAAGCAGATGGCGAATTCGAACCCCCAATCGATAATTATGAAAAAGATTTTCCTTTACCAGACTATCACGATGTTCTAATAGCGATTACCCTTGAAAAAACAGCAGCTGGTGGGAACTAATTACCTATATCGTCGGACGAAAACCTACCCTACGATTGGAACTAAAATGTGCTCTGCCCAATCCGTAAAAATAGGGACTCCACGTCTTCGAAAAACTTATAAGGCTGCGTAAACTGACGCTGGACAACCTTTTCGGGTCGTTCAATACCATACAAGGTTTCAGACAGGGAGACTCTTTATTGTGAGATTTCATCAATTTGATGCTTGAGAAAGCCACATCGTTCGAATGAATGAAAACGCCCCAGCTTCGAAATCCTGAATTACATTGTTCGTCCTCTGAATTACCAATGCAAAGCTCAATACAAAAACGCATGGTTCATTCGGTTAAAGAAGTGAATTTAAAACTGCAAGTAAAATATTATTCATTGAATCAACACTTACAATGAAAATTATATCATGCTATAACTTTTTTAATATGAAATACTTTTATTTTCAATATACAAATAATGGTTGTTAGTTATTTTCGGTAAATTTCCGATAAAATTAAAGAAGACCATCACGATTTGGTCGTAATCCGCACTGTAATTTAGCATAAATTACCCATACCGAATCAAAAACAAAATTAGAGTGCTGTGGAAATGACCTTTGACTTTTTTTATGCAGGGCCCGAAATTTAGAGCATTTTATTTATTCCTTTATATTTTATTACATCATTTTTTGTTTTATCCTTGTATCGTTGAAAAAATTTTCGCAACTCACCAATAATGTTGCCCATACGCCCCGTCAAACCAACAAGATTTTCGGTGACTAGACCTTTCACTGAAAACTCAGTAAAATTAGTAACGAGAGAGCGCAATTTTCACGTTTGGTTTGGAGAGAAAGTTTCAAATTAATGCTGGGGAAATTTCTGCCAGTAAAAACTAGCAAGTTTGAAAAACAGCTGATTTGTGATCACTTGTGAATTTTCGTCAACCAAACAAAATTGGTTTAAAATTAAAATAATATTAGCACTTTAATATGAATGATATACCAGCAAAATAAGTCTCCAAATATGATTTTGCAAAGTAAATTTAATAACATCAACTATTCAATTAAATAGTTAGGGTACTCATAAAATGAGAATGTTGTGGCAGTGGAGCGGAATCATCGCCCGCATACCACCGAACCGACGTTAATAAATTAATTTTAAACAACCTTCTGGCTAATTTTTACTCAATCCTGTTCGGTGAAAACTCAGTAAATTTCTTTCTTTGGGAGAGTAAAACCTTTAACTCTCTCAATTTCTTACTGTCCAATATTTACTGACATTTTTCAACGAACGCAGCTATTGTTGACATTTAAAATAAGCTCTTATCTGTCACATATGCATATATGGATAAATTTTATAACACCAACAAATAGGTCAATACTTTTTTAATTTTTGTTTCGGTTTAAAAATTTCCCCTCGCCTTATCAAGAAAATACCCCGTAATGAGGATACTATTTAGGGGATTGAGGTATTTAAAACGAAAGGGCTACATTCGCCCATTTGTGCTAAAATAGAATCTAAATTAAAACTCTTTGAAATTGCGAGGGGTCCGTTGACTGCAATTTCCTTTATGTCATGTCAAAATTTTCGCGGTAGATTGCTTTTATTTTTTTCTTAATTATGTGCCGCTTAAAAAAAGTTTTATGTGCAGACATTCACATTTGTATGTGCATTTGTAAATGTGCACATATGCTTATTTTTAAACATACTACATACTTTTATGAGCCCAAATGACTGGTAACGCAAATGACTACACCACTTTTCGTACCTAATTGCATACTCCTGATAATGGTTGATAACCTTGTTTTAACGGTTAACTAATTGATTGCATACATATGTGTGTATCTTCATTGTATGTATATACACATTGTTATTTTTGTAATATTTAAGTACACAGTCCATTGTGAATATGTATATCCTTTCGTATCACGTGCTTCATATACAAAATCATATACGCACACACATTTGCAAGTAATTGATAAATACGTATAGAAGCCATCCATTCATTATATGTACATGTACATTTGTATGTATATGTGTACGTGTAAGTTTGAGTATGTACATAGAATACTCCATTTTCAGTTGAGAATCAGCTGTGAATGTAAAAGGTCTACATACAGACATTAAATATGGTAATTTACTTATTTCATGCCCTTATGTAATCTTTCCTAAGCTTAGTATTTTATATTTATTCAAAAAATTTTGTATGTTACATTTAATGATGTATGTTCTTTCCTTTAATTCAAAAAAAAAAACATCCAAAATATTAGAAACTTACGTTCATGTGTATATATTTTAAGTATTCACAAGCACAGTTGTATATCCTATGTGTACTTATGTATACATAAGCACATATTTACATACATGTATTAAACATGTATTACGTGTGCACTCCTTTTTCTTTCTTCATTGTGAAAAAGTTATTGTAAACAGCTATATTTCATATTGTAAACAACATTTGCACTCACATAATCGTACATATTTATTTTCATCATTGATCACATATATTTGCAATAAGTTATTTTTCATTTTCACATTATCTTTTGACTAGAACGAAAATTCCATTAATGATTTAAGCGGCCCGACAACGATTCACTTTGTTATGTATAACTATTTTTGGGAAGTGCTGATCGATTTTAACCATTAAAAATGCCTTGCCATGTATATTTTCGAAGGCCTACAATAATTAATATATATTTATATTCACTCTATTAATATTAAATTGCATCAACAATTCTTTATTTGATCTATTTATTTCCATTATCTCTTTTATTCCATTTGTATGTAGAACTAATCACATCAATAACAGACAAGCATATATTAACTGTATTTTTTCTAACCGCATTACACCATATTCAATAAAAGACTAAGCTTATCAATTCACAACGGGCGCGTCCTTTAAGCACAGGCGCAATCAAATGAACAACTGAAACAGTAAAAGGATATAGTGAATGTAAGCGCATCAACTCAAGTGTTGCACCCTCGAAATATGCCTCGAGTATTCCGCCACATACCACTATTAGAGGGTATTTTGTTTGTTGTTACGCTTAAAACGTTTTATTATTGTGAATACCAGCGCAAAATAGGTGCAGGATTGTCATACCAAGATGTACAAGTCATGTATGCATTAGTTCACTGAAATCACATAAGTCAAAATTGTTATTCTTCGCAAGTATGAAGGGAAGACTACAAAAAAATTATAAGAAATCATAAATTTATAAACTCCATGAATATTCGACGAAAGTGCGCGTGCTAAAGCAAGGAAATCTTATACTGAAACTTGCTTAATAAGTTTTGCTTAAATTTTAAATACTTATAATGTTGTTTTGCCGATACGCTCTTAGATTTTATTGAAAATTTCTTTCGTTTTAATAATTATAATTTATTAATTCATTATTGCTTATATATATATATGCTCATTAAACTTTTATATATTGTTTTACCGAGTCATTTCATCTATTATTCTTGTTGTTGTGTATGCACATTTCCATTTGAATTTTATTTTGCTTTTGTTGCGTGTTGTTTTTAAGTGTCAAAATCAGTGCATTTAAAATGGCTAAAATTTTCTTGAGCTTTGAAACTGTTTATTTTTCATTTTGCCTGCTTTTAATTTAATTATTATTATTTTTTATTATTTGTTATTTATTATTATTTATTTTTTGTTTGTTTTTATTTATGGTTTTTATATTATTGTTTTTAACTATTCATTCATGTTCATTCTTTGACGCTATAAGCGAAGGCAAAGGTCTACGGTGGTCGTGTCTTTAAACTGTTGCGGCAGACACGAAATGGATTTAGTGAAATAGGTCGTGAACTAGCCACCTTAACAGAGTTGTCCGCGAAGAGACAATGTCTGATGACGTAACAGTGAGAAAGTTTAATCTCAAATATGAAAAGAAAATTTTTCTATGTTCTAAATCGATACTTCATTCGAATGCTGTAATCAACTTCTTGATAGTACATTCAGACCTTCCGAAGCATTTGTGCGCAAATTTCAGTATCAAGGTTGAAAATATTGCTAAATTTCCTCACAAATGGAGAGTCAAAAAACTAATCAAAGAAAAGATGCATACAAAGATGCATACGAGTGCTTGCACTATCTTATGTATATACCTCCCCTGTCGGACATATCTGTATACATGGAGCATGCTTGTTTATTTAAAAATGTGATCTCATTGGTAAAACAATGCTTTGGATTACTTCAATTTGCTATGTGTTTCATGGAATCAATTATGTTACTCCAGTTTGTAATCGATCTTGTGTAAATGAGTTCTTGGAAGCCTGAATCAAATTAATTTAGTTCCTATCCAGTTTGGTCAGATTTTAGATTGGGTGTTTTCTTGTTCTGCCAGAAGATTTGCTTTACCCTGCTTTAGAGATAACATTTCAAATCGGTAGAAAATTTTGGCTGATAACTCTATGCTTAACGCTAGTTTTCGATTCAACTTCCCAAAAGCGAATTTTATAAAATTTAAAATATTGAAGCAAACGTCTAACATTTTAACAGTACCATTATTTATCGTTTTGTAAAATGTGTGTCAGATGCTTAAATTAAAACACATGAATTTGTGGTTTACAAAGAAGTTATGTTGCTTAAAGTATAGTAGAAGGTCAAAAGCTTTTAAGACTTTCAAGAAAAGTGGCTTACACTTACACTTACATTACTTAAAATACTCGTCCCTTCGTCGAAAATTTCTCGAACTCAAAACTAACTAAAGTTAGGAAAAATATTTTACACAATTTAAAGTTGTTCTCTTCAAACGTAAGCTTCCTTCCTTTCTTTACGCCATGATATATAATATAAATCTACTATGTCATGTGACAAACTAAGTATTTCTAATATGTTTGCGTAATTTTTTAAATCAAATTATTCAACTACCTCTCGATGTGGTTTGTCCGTCTGTCAGTATTACTTACATTCAACATCAATAAGTGACTCACCAACTATTTCTGAGGAAGTTGTAATATATCATTTGAAGAATCTAAAACATTCTTTCAGTCCAGATATGATTTCTACATCCTACTGAATTTTCTAATTCCCTCCCAAAAGAAGGTGTAGCTCCCCACAACATCGAAGCACTTTTTTATAGTACCCTTACATACTAGCGATTATAGGGCTAATAATGAATTTTTTTAGAGGTATTGCAAAAATATCCGTTTTCGGTCTCCTTACTATTTACTATTCAGTTCCAAACACAAATTTGGCAAAGGAAAATCAATGCTTAGCCGACTTAGATAAAACATTCGATAGGATTAATCAGTCATACCTCATTCAAAAACTAGATCTTCAGGGCTTTCAAACAAAATTTATTCAATGGATTTCCTCGTATCTCTGCAATAGAATTCAACGTGAGACATTTATCACAATTAATTAATGTATCTTCAGGAGTTCCTCAAGACAGCCATATCAGCATGCTTTTGAACCTTCAGAAGTGTAAGACTTGTTCAGCCTTCGCATTATACAATTAATAACTATAGTCGATGCGACGAATTGGTTAATTCGTGAAGGACACTGTGAGTAACTCTTATAAAATTATGAACTTTCATATAATACCTTTATTTTAGAAATAAACCAGGTAATATAAAAAAATGCCTGCCAGATCGAAATTATTTAAAATTTATTACTTTTGTTAAATTCGCAAGCGAATCAACGACAAGGAGGCTTGACATTCACTGCCAAGGGTCTAACGCAATCAGAAAAATTTAACTTAAAGTCTTATTTAAATTATTTTTTCTTGGTGGTCGTACCAAGACACTAACCCTCATCTTCCAAATGGCAGCAAGCAATGCTAACCGCTTGGCTATCGCGGCCGCCGTTCAATTAATGATAAAAGTAATTCTCCACTCACATAACTGAAACTGTCGATGTTTCAGAACACTTTCGTGGCATATTTTCGAAATAATTAGATTAACTCAGTAATACATCGACGAGCTTAATTCAAATTTTGCGTTGACCAGTGTTTGTCGATGGTGTGTGAATTCAATCAAGGTCGTAAATCACTCCAACAATAATTTCGTGAAGGTCGTCCGAAATAAGTTGCTTTTCCGGAAATTATTGAACAAACTTCTATGACAAGATCGTTATGTGACTTATCGTGAGATTTAAACAATTATAGATATTAGTTGGACCTGCATACATTTAGAATTGCATAAACAATTGACTGCAAAAGTTAACCTGAAAGTAAGCAGAAGTCGTATATATGGGTGTTTAAAGATGAGTCGAATCCATCAAAAGTGGTTGTGTATTTTTTTGAAATGCTGACCAGCTGACCATGCCGCCACCGTACCACCTCATATCGGCTGAAAGAAATGTATTTGTGAGCACTTAAAACATCGACTTGATAAGCCATCGCTCGTCCTCACTTGACACCGGACGACTTCTTTTTATTTTCGAATGTAAAAAGGTCACGTTGATGAGTAACACATATTTTAAAGATATCTCAATCAGAGTGCACACGCATGCAAAAGTGTCTAGATCTTAATGGATGATAATTGAAAAAAAATCGGGTATGTGCTGGAAATCGCGCAATTCCATTGTGATACCGAAATTGCAAGGTGAAAAATCAATTCGTTGATGAAATTCACTCGATTTAATCCAGACTCGTAGCAAGACGAATTTATAGAAGCTGAAGTTGTCAGATAATATGATTGCTTGTTCTTCCTCCCATTTCAACAAATTATACAAACAAAATACATGAGAAATAGGTTTTGACATTTCCAACGTTCGTTTACACAAACAAAATATATTGATCAATTTTCGTTTTTGACTTTTTCGAAACTATAATTACACAAACAAAATACATGGAATTTTTTTTTTTTGTATTCTTGCTACTACCGTGTGTAAATTTGCCTTGGCTCGTAGTTCAATTCGAAACAGCTAATAGGCAAACAACTGAGAATTAATCAAAAATGCGGATTTTTGAGCGCTCTTATCAATGTTGTAAAATATGTTTGATCACTTCAAGCTTTTAGATATTCAAACGAATAAAGCTGTGTAACCAACATTGACGTACGACTTGTAATTATTTACAGGTTAATTTCGTTCAATAGGACCTATAAAAAGCGTTTAATGTTATGTATATTCTTAACAATAAAAGGCCAAAGTCTATGACTGTTGAGATACAATTAGCAGTCATATTGAACAAGGGGATTCTAGAGATCCAATGGAAAAGATTTAAGATTTAGTATGTTTTTTTATGTAAATGAGGCAACTACAAAAAGTAAACTAACTATTCTATGTCTGTATTTTTCTATATTTCACACTAGAAAATCTCCAATTCGCGTGCCTGCAGCCGACCGATTCCAAACCTAAAAAAATTTGGGGATTTTGATTTCTGGCGCATGTCGTATCGTTGCGACTTGTCGTACAACAACGAAAACAGTGAAATTCATCACATGGAATCATGCTTTCAATGTAAATTTCATGCAACAATAATTTGCAGCAAATGCCTGATAGTTTAGTTATTTAATTATTACAAATGTATGCATAGCTACACACCTACAGTCAACGTCAAAAAAAGTGTACACCCGTGTTTATTATATTGCAACTATTGTATTATTTAAGCTTTTATTCGATTATACGCTGTAAAATTTTATATATTTTGAAAAAAGTAATTAATGAATTATTATTGTATAGAAAACCCAAAGCAAAATTCTTACAACTCCAGAAGTTCTTAAACGAAAACGAAAATCCTTCATATTTTGAGTGTTTTCCATGAGCCTTTATTACATAGCGTAAGCGACATGGCCTAGAATTGACAAGATTTATTGTTACTTTAGGTGTTATTTTTTCCATTCTTCTGTAATATTTAATATAATTGGCGCTTTGTATCCGCTGAAGCGATTTTAGGCCAAGCTCCTCCACCAATTTGTGGTTTTGCGTCATGATGTTTTTGAAACAAATGGAGGGACCTACAGTTTATACTAAGCCGCCTCCGAACGCCTGATGTGTTTTTTATGCGGAGCTTTATTTCATGTCCGAAATATACTCAGAGGAGTGGGCATCCTCCTGCCGAGGGGCGACCGCAATAAGAATTTAACTTAATTTTTTATTTAAATTAATTTTCCATAACTTTTGGATGTTGGTGGCACCGAGATATGAACCCTAACTTTCCGAATGCCAGAACGCAATGCTAACCAGTTGGTTGCCGCGGTGTATTAGCTTCATGGTTTTGTTATTGATATTCCGTTTTCTTATTTTTCTGTTTATCTGCTTCCAAATATGATCGATAGGGTTGTGGTCCGGTGACTGATTGACTGGGTGATTCAATCGTCTGGGGACATAATAAAGTCTCCATTCCTTCACAATTTTTGCTGTGTGCTTAGGGTCATTATCCTGTTGAAACACCCAAGATCGACCCAAATTCAGTTTATGGACACTAGAATGCAAATTACTTTTCAAAATATTCAGGTAGTCCATCTTATTATAGGGCTATGAAAATCCAATCCCACCTGGGGCCCTACACCCTCATACCATCACCGAGCCACCAAAATACTTTTCCGAGGGTATTACATTCCTTTGAGCAAGTGCTTCATTGCTCCTCAAATTCTGGTGATTTTTTCTTCCCAAATACCTTAATTTTGTTTTCATTGCTAAAAAGAACATTGTTCACTTTAGTACTATTAAGCAAAGTGCAAACGCTTCAGTATAGATATCAACGGCTTTTTCCGGGTAATAAGGCCATGGAGACCATTCGAATGTAATGCCCAACGAATTTTGCCAGCCAATAAGTCTACACATGATGTTTCTGAAATAATTTTCGCCAATTTTAATGCATTTTCAGGAGGATTTTTCTTGAAACTGCACACAATTGATCTTGTTTCACTGTCCGTTTGTGGACGTTTCTCCAAATTTAATTTCTACGGATGGAACATCTACTTGAGAATGATGTGCCAATTGCCGGCACTTCATGCGGCACAAACTCGACAATGATCGCCGCAGCATATGATTAACATTTGAATTTTTGTTCTCTTCTTCATCGCCTGAAAAGACAAACAAAACAAAGACGAAGCAATGAAAGTGACGGGATTTTCGAGTTTTTTTTGACATTTTTTTCTTCTTCATTTCTTTTTTTCTAAAGTAAAATAAAGTAAATTGGGAAATTGGCTAAGTTATACAAAAATTAAATTAAAATTAAATTAATAACTGAGTTTCTTGATATCCAACTAAAAGACACAAAATAACAGCAGTATCTACGGAGAAACAGAAACATGTAGTTTTTAAATTTTTTTTTTTTCAGTTTTTACACTTTTAAAATGTTTAAGCGTTCTGACGCCTTGCGAATTTTTGCAACATGCTACCAACATCCAGTCGGAGAGCAATAGGGAATACCGATAAGTCAGTCGTCAGTAAGCTATTGTATTCATTACGTGACAGAAACAGTTAACCATTCAATATTTCCTGCGCAGGTTAGATTTTCCATTACGTCGCTATTTGCTGGAGGAACTAGTGGGGCTATCGATTGCGAAGAAGCCTATTTCAAACCTTCATGAGAATCATTCTACCAATGAGCAAATGGTGAGAGTAAATTTTTCAATTACTATTGAAGTAACAAAGCTCATTATATAATATTTGTACACAGATATGTGATCCTTATCGCAAGATTATGGGGGAAAATGCTAAGTACCCAAGAGCACGACAGGATTATTTTATTTGGAACTCTTCTATAGAGCAAAGAGTCATTCATGAAAGTGCAAACCATAACATTTTTTTGACTTGATAAATTTTGTAATGCATTGCTATTCATTTAAAAGCATTAAAAATCGCACACTACTGGCTTGTTTACTGCTGTGTAATTTCATCGCAATAACCTAAATCCTAAAGTGTTTGTTGGTTGGTGAATCCCATCTTCTAAATTTTTTGCTTTTACGTTATTTTAAATGACATTAAACACAATGTTGCTTATAAGCAACTCTGGTCGAAAGGATTAAAAATGAGTAAGAAAATTTATCGACAATTTATTATTACACCAGCTTGGGTGTACTCAGGATCCTTATGCATATTTCCCACTTTTTCTATTTACACATTTTGAAATTCATCAATTGTTTTGTATTATTTTGTTCACTCAAAATTATGTATTCATGTTTGTATGATTATTTGTACCGATACTTCTTACAAAGTAGGAAAAAAAACTATAAAAATGGCGTTCTAAATCGGATAATCCGTTCAACTGCATTCTCTTTCAAATTTGAATGTACTCAGAAGAGAAAGATAAAAAAACAACTTGCTTACATCAGTGTTGGTGGTGCCCGAAATCGTGTGAGTGTATGGTGAATCAGCCTGTTCTTGCAGGGTAATACATGGTCAAATTTCCGTATCTCGTAACGTTATTAAATATGGTCTCAATTTTATGAAAAGGCTTGGAGTTGAGCTTGCTGTATCCCACCTCAAAATAGGTTGCAATAAATATGACTCATTGACGCCCAATTTTTAGTTTAATTAAAGTTGGAGGAAATGGTGCGAACTTTCTCTAATTTCTATGCCTAAAATAGATTTAATATGATCGGCGGAAAAACGTTAGAGTTAATAACCAAACCTTTAGTCTAATGCTGCAACTACCTATCTTACATACATACCTTCCGTCCATATCAACCTATCTTATTAGAGCGCCATATAAATGAAAAGTTGTCACCGTTTGTCAATCCCGCTACTTAGATTGTCCCGCAGAAAATACTCATATTTGTATAATCTATTACAGTTTGATGTTATGGCTGTGCGGTATGCAAGAGTGGTAGTTGCAGCATAACACATGCGATTACTTATCACAACGGACTAGGTGGAATGTAGCTAAAACGGATTCTCTTCATTTATGCAGGTAGGTCATACGACTTCGCCGTTAAAGGCCGTAATAAGTGGTCCTCTGCGAATCACAAGACATTTCTTGTTTTAAGTTTTAATTCAGTAAAAGTAGTGAGAGAACTCAATTTTGACGTTTTGTTTGGGGAGAAAGTTGCAAATTCGTGCTGAGAAACTTTCACCCAGTAAAACCCAGGAAGTGTGAAAAACAGCTGTTTTGTGATCATTTGTGAATTTTCGTCAACAAAACAAAATTTATTTAAAATAATATTAATGACATGTCAACAAAAAAAAATGATTAAATGTAATGTTTGATTTGAATGAACAATACAATAATTCCAGCAACAGTAAAGGCACTCGTTAAACGAAAAGTCACCTAGCTTGGGTTAAGAGATTAGAAGTTAGGAAAGCATGAAGCTCTTGCTAGTTTTTTTAACATAATCGAATAAATTCTATTATTATGTTGATTTAATATGGCCGGCTTACATGGGAAAATAATTTCAAACTCATTTTCGTACTTGAGTAGTTATCCTCACGGAAAATCTAAGCGACAAATTGTTGCAAAGTTTTACATAAATCTTCGTCCGTTGTTATCTTTATCGTTTGACGGCTACATTTATAAACTATGAATTTTGGATACAATTAGTAAATTAAAAATTCCATATATTTGCAAATTATATTAAAATATTATTATTATCAGGAAAATACTTAAAAGCAGAAAACAACGGTATAAATGAACGTATCCAAATTTAGCCGCCGAAATAAACAGCTGTTATACATCTTGCTGGCTAATTTGTACTGAATGCTGTTCGTCAACCACAGCTAATGTTTTATTTACCATGTCTGAAGTCACATTCATAATTTTTATATATTTTACATAGTTATATAGTTTTCAATAAAATTAAAATTTTGAAATAATATTCTGATCGACATATGCTGGGTATTTTACAAGCTTTTATTCATATCTGTATGTATAATCATAGTGTAACTTACAATTGAAGAAATTTTAAACATTTAAAAAGCAAAGAAAACCCTTGCCTAATATGTGTAGTGCTATGCGAATATGGTTTTTAGTATCTACTGTTATTAATCTGTGAATTTATTGCTGTATTCACTGCCGAAGATGCAGCTTGTTGTATGTGCTGATTTCTCATAAATTCTGTTGCAAACTCTTGCTGCGCCTTAGCCATACTGGCACCAGTGCTGCGGTAAATTGAATGGATCTAAAAAAAAGAGTATAAAAAACATTAACGATTAGATTACTTTTTCATAAATTTGTATGATTCAGATTTAAACCCATGACAGCCCGCAAGGTAGCACCTACTTGCTAAATAATACCTACATTTACATGTATATTATATATTACCTTAGTAATCATCATTATATTAGCAGCGGCCGTTGTGGCAAAACAAAAAGCTATACAAAGCAAAAGAAGTCCAACAATTATGCCTACTGCTGAAGAATTAAACTGATAAATAGCAATGATAAATCCGCAATACCCCGTATCAGGAACGCCAATGGCTTGGAAAACTGTAAGCACAGTTTGAAAGAAGTACACGAAGAAAAATACCATGAAATTAAAGCTGGAATCATTGCGGAAGGCTTTATATGCCGGTCGAAACCTACGAATGATATAAATATATTAGTTGAAAAATTGTTTATGTAGTGATGAAAAGCAATGGATTTTTACCAGCAAATGTATGATGCAGGAGTGGACAGCATTGCATAAAATAAAGCCAAGCCAAATGTTGTAATTTTGCCAGTATGAAACAAAATAATCAGGCCGCCAATTATATTGATGACCATAGTCATAGTGTAAACTGAAATTAATTTTTTTTATAGATTGAATTATATGTATGGATTGTGAGCAATTATCTGTTTTACTTACACATCCATGTGTAGTATAAGTGTTTTACAAGTTTTTGAAATTCTGGAGGAATTTCCAAATTGAAATCCTGATAAAAGCATGGTTTCACGCAAAAATTGTCTGGCAAAGGGGGCCAATTATTCAGTTGTGGAACGTTTCCCTGTAGTTGTTGTTCACGTCTATCCAATTCGGCAGCCTTACGGTCTAACTCTTCTTGTCGACGCTAAGAGAAGTTGTTAATAAAATTACGAATTTATAACATAATTTATTTCCAAATTTGTATTTATTTGAAAAATGGCTGACGATAACTTGATGAACCTCAGAACTTTCATAACAAAGGACACTGTTATCTTATTAACAAAACTATACAAAATCAAGAGATGTACATAATACATCTATCACTTATTTAATATCAACATTAATATATTATTGACTTTTGAAAACTGTCAGCTTCAAATATGCTTACACATGCCAAACACCAGCAAATACACAAATAATTATTAATATAATTGCAACTTTATATATAGTATGCGTATTTTATTTACATTTGTTCCAACATTTCACAATGAACATTACGTCTTGAATTTTTGTAGGAGCATTTGTTACAATTAACTACACTTATGCATCAGATTACTTATTTATTGCATTTAGTTAGTGAAAACCACAATGATTAGTCAGCCCAATTCTGTAATATTGCTTTCTTATCGATGATGCATATATTGGCATATTCATATGCATATATGTATATGCAACCTACGCATTAACTTGCCAGAAAAAATCGACATCGAATATACATATGGCAGATGCAATAAAATTTGAGCACACTTTCACAGGTACCGGTCCTGTTTACAAGCTTAATTATATTATATATTACCTGCAATTCTTCAGTAGTTATTTGAATACTTGTGCTTGGTGCAGCAGGAGGGGCGTTTTGCGATAAAGGCTGGACGACTGCTGCATTATTACCAGAATTTATCTGTAACTGAGGTTTGACATTTTCTTGTTCAAAAGGATTATAATCTTCCAAAGAATATTGTTTATTTGTTGTTACTCTTGTCGCCTGCTGTATAGCAGGATCAGCAAAGGGATTTTCACCAAAAGGGTCGTCAAATCCAGACATTTTTAACACCTATATTTCTCTCGATGAAGGTTTACGAGCTTTCCATTAGTAACAACGATTTTTTTCTCACTATACACCAGAAAATTTTGACGGAATGTCTCAGAACTTAGTAAATAATACAAGGGGGCTCAAATTCATAAAAATCGTATTTCTCCCAGCAGTAAAATTTTAAAGTTTGACAAGATCTTACGTTAACCCACGAAGTAACGCAAATGACCTAATTTGTAAATATTTCCATTCCAGGGGCTCAAATTCATAAAAATGGCATTACTACCTGCAGTAAAATTGCAAAGTTTGACCAGATCTTACTTCCAGTTACAAATGGCGCATAAACTTTAGTGCCGTTTTCATCATATCCGGTTAAACACTTAATCATAACTTAATCGGAAGATAGCATATTTTCGTTTTCACAATGTCCGGTTAAGGCGCATCTGTCAATTAATGCCAACATTGAGTGGTGATTAACTCTTAACCAGAAGATAATTTGACAGCTGCATATAATAAAATAACAAATAAAATAGTATTTTGGTGTTGGCTTTAAAAAAATTTTTAATTATGAAAAATATGGAACGCATTACCTATCTGGATTCATTGGTTCAGAAGCGTATTTATAGGGAAACCACACTGAAAGGTTTTTGAAGAGTGTGTTTTGAGTACATGAATATTATTGATAATTGATCCGAATTTGCAGAAATAGGGCAGAGGAACTTTTTCTCTTAACATCAACTTTCATGCATCGGAAATTTTTTTTTTTTTTGTTTTACTGGTTTGGCGGAATAAAAGTGGCGACCCTCAGTCGGGTGGTAAGTAGTGTCCATTGCTGTACCGACATGTTCAATCATTCATCAGAATACCGAAAAAAGCAGGCTATCTCTTTAAATATTGTCTTCCAAAACAATGATTATAATCTTGATGAAGTAGAAGTTCAAGTTTATGAAGCAGCAGAAGCACTTGTTGATGCCGACGTAAGCATAGCTGAGGTGCAAACAAAGGTTTTTGTAAGATCTGGTCAGAGATTATGTTGCTAGGGTGGATTATTTGTATAATAAACCGTAAATTCATTTATAACTATTACTGTTTTTTCATGCTATAGTCATATATATTTGACACAAATATTCTATACATTTAATTTGAAATCATCGAAATCTTTTTCCCAATAAAAAATATATCAAAATTATTTCAATAAATTATAATTTATTGAGAAAAAAATTAAAAAAAGGGGAAACAGAAAACTAAATTGTATGGAAATACCGGATTTCATGGACTTTTAGGTACTCACAATGCAAAGTTTTGTGAACTTAACTTATCTGACGGTTAGTTATCCTCCAGTTAAAGATTAAGTTGATCGGCCATTGTGAAAACGGGCCTTAGTACACAGACAATGGTTTTTCCTTATGATATGTTCAGAGTTGATAGTAGGAGATCTACAATTACCAAATTTTTATTGCGCTCAAATTTATAGTTTCAAAGTTATTAACATTTACAGGCCTATCTCACTAATATCGGTAAAACAAATTTTGTAATTTTTTTTTAAAACCCGAAATTGATTTGGTTTTCTATCGAACAGGTTACATTGCATGAAAAAACTTCGGAAGCACTGCCTTTCCGACCATTCCAAATTACATTTACCTCTACAGACGAAGCGCATGAAATTAGGTAATTTTTATTTATTTGTTTATTAAGTCATAAATAATTAAAGTTAATTTTGGAAAATATGCCAGAACGTCAAAAAAAGCTGAATGAAAACGCTATCTTCCAAATTAAAAAGGTATTCTTTTCTCACAAACTTCTTAGCATTCGCCTTGAATGACGAATGGCTTAAACCTAAGGCTACAATTATCTCAGACAAACACCACAGATATTCAGGAGTAGCAGTAGCAGATTAACGTCGAAATAAGAATTAAAACCGACAAAATTATCTTGAAGGGGTTACACATTCGGATTATGGATTTGCATATCGGTTTCATTTTCGAAACAGATTTGTGGCTATTTTAGATGTTACAAAAACCGATTCATCGGTTCAAATGTCAGAAACAGAAACAGAAACAGAGCAGTTATTCGTTGATAGAATTGTGCCAACTTCTTTGAAAGCGGAAATTTAGTAAAGATGTAAGTAATGCATAATAGATTTTACAACCAACAATGCTTGGAAATGGTCACGAGCTCTACGTTTTCCATTGTCGTTCATTTCCAAAATAATCCAGCACGGACCATTATAGATTGTCTTCAATGACATCCAGCACTATTATAAAAGCTTCTTTTATTGATCTATAGATTTACATACAAACAAATTTTGTATGATGAAATGCAAAAGTAGAATGCAAATTGCACTTACTCGTACAACTCTGGCGGCTCCCTTACAATTTGTCGGTTTTTTCTTATCTTCGAAATAAACAAAATCCAGTTGGTTTTATAACACCATTTCAAACAGATGTTGATTTTCAATTCCGATAAATTAGCAATTCTGTGTCGGTTTCTATAACACCGCGGATTGGGCTTATAAAGGAAAATGGAAAATCGCTGTACTAAATTACCTTAAAAACCAAAGCAGTTAAAAGGGTTAAGTGTTTTTATTCTAATTACAACACTAGAAACTATTGTAGATGTTTACAAGTATAGAAAGCGCCATTTCGTTTGTTAACATTGGATTTATTTCTAAATCATTTTCATTATTTCCTTTTCTTCGACATTTCGTATTTAAATTTCCCTCATTCCATTATGATTCGCTATCAGATTCTTTACTCTACTTTTTGGTACTACGTTTCCTTATTCGGTAATTCTTTCATTGTCTGCGTATTTATTCTGCCAAATATTTCACTCCAACGATATTCACATCATCTATTTTGCATGCCAACTTGGTCGCATTATGATTTTATATTTGGCAGGCGAATACCGAGATTGTAAGCCTTTACGATGCTAGAAACGAGAATACCTATAAGCTACAAAAAAAAACAACCGACCTCGATGATTTTCTGAATCCTTCGGGTACGATCTCTGGATTGTTAAATAAAAAATCGCTAACTTATAAAGAATTTATCTAATGTCCTTTATTTACTCAGTAATACACAATTCAATTACAATGCACTTTACTAGTTATAATCACTTGTATAAACCTTTCACAATTTACTTTACTTAAATGTAATCTCCAACGCGTTTACTTTACGACTCAAATAGTTTATTCCGCTATACTCTATGTTGTCGCCAACGAGTGCACTTTGTAACTAACTTACTTGGCAGCTGAGTATCGCCCTTATATAGCAGTCGGCTGCTCGCAGACGAAAGCGTAGAAGCATCGATTTGTTCGCTATCGAAGGTTCTCGCTTTATCGTTCTAGAATGTACTAGTTATCGGCTTCTCTCTTTCGTCTGACATTCGCCTCGCATTTTCGCTGTAGTTACATGCACGGCGGACCGATATCCCATCAGGAAAAGCGGTATATGCACATCCCAATCATCCTGATGCTTGTCCACTACTTTTCGCAAGTGCTCTTCCAGGGTCTGGTTGAATCGCTCCACCATACCATCTGATTGAGGATGTAG